GGCGCCCTGCCGGGGGGTGCAGTCGGGGCGTGGATGGCGCCTCCTCCTCCTCCTCCTCTGTTACCTCAGGCCCCTCCCGCCTTTCCCAGCCCTCGCTGCTGCCCCTTCCCACCCTCCCCAGGCTGCCCTGCCCGAGGCGGAGGCAGCGGGAGCCCCGAAGAGGCCGGCTCGGAGGTAGCGGGAGGCCCTGAGGGGGCCCCTCTGGGCCCTGCCAGCCGGGGAGGCTCCTTCGGGAGGGCTGGAGGGGACCCTGCTCCTCCGAAATGCTGGCAGAGGGTGGTGCTCTGCGCACAGAGATCCTTGCTGAGCGGCTGGATGCTGCTGGGACAGCCCCGCGCTGCTCTGAGGGCTCTGCCGAGCCCTGAGGGGTCTTGTCAAGCTCTAAGGGCTCTTGTCAGGCTCTAAGGGATCTTGTCAAGCTCTGAGGGCTCTTGTCAGGCTCTGAGAGCTCTTGTCAGGCTCTGAGGCTGGCCCACGCCGGCTGCCCCCCTGTCTCTCCTCCTTCTCCCAGGCTGCTGCAGAGTCCTGCAGTGCTGGATGTGCTGAGGCTGCAGAACATAACCCCAAATGGCAAAGGGAAGACTTTTTATAGCTCGTGAGCTGCAGCAGCAGTGCAAAGCTGCTCTGAGTGTCTAAAAGGCAGAGACTGGTGCGTTTGGCTGCTCCCAAGTGAGACTTGGGGCCTTCAGCAGATGCAGGGACTCAGCACGGGCACTTGGGGAAGCCCCAGGAGGAGGGATGCACCCAGCACATCCACAGCTGAGCACTTAACAATGGAATGCAATTCCAAAAGATGATTCCTGATCCTGCTGCAGCTCCAGGCAGGTGCTGGCCAGGTTGAGGGGGCTGCCTGGTGTCCAGGGAAGAGAGCTCAGAGCCCCTTTCTCCTGCATGAGCTTCATGTCCCAGCTTCTGAGCTGGGATTCCTGAAGCACTTCAAGACAAAGGGAACTAGAAGTGATGCCAGCCCTGCAGGAACACGCTGAGCTTCTTTTGTCCTCCCTCCAACCTCAGGAAAGTTCCTCCTTAGAGGAAGCCAATGTTGGCTGCTTTCTGCACAAGAGCTCAGTTGAATTTAAAGGTCGCAGGGTGCCTAGTTAGCAAGAGTGTCTAATAAAAGGCACAGAAGGGTGCCTAGTTAGAAAGAGTGTCTAATAAAAGGCACAGAAACAACTGCAGTGCCAGCAGATTAAATTCCCTGAGCAAGAGCCTGAGCTGAGGTCTAAGAGTCCTGGAAAGGTCACTCAGTACGAGATGCATTTCAAAGAAAGAGAGGGACAAGGCAAGTGTGGGAAGAGCAGCTGGGAAGAGATGAATAAAACAACACAGCATGTCCTAAGGAGCTGAGACATCAGAGAAAGGGAGGCCTGGGGAACATGGGGGGTCCTGGCCCAGCTCCTGCAGGCCCCAAGTGAAAGAGTTTGGGTTCTGTCCTCAGTTTCAGCTTTGCAATCCCAACCCTCTTTGGTCCCACAGCCAAAATTTAACACTGGAACCTCTGCTAAGAAAAGCAAGTGGGACACTCTGTTATGTTGTGACTGAACAAGTGACCTGCAGGGACATTCTTGCTGTTTCTGGGACAGCACAGAAGGGTGCAGAGCCAGGAGGGGACTGCACACTCAGCAAGCCCAGCAGGCACCAACCCCAAGACAATGATGCACCAGAGCCGCAGAGCAAAGAGCACATCTCCCTTCTCCTCTCCAAGTTTATTTGAAGTGTTGTGAGGTGCACTGCTGGCCAGAGACCTGCAGCAGCTCAGCCTGCCTGTCCAGACAGGGATCAGTGAACTGCTGGACACGCTGACTTGAGCAAACATGAGTGGAATGAGCAGCTTCAGAGGAGCAGAAAGGCACGTGGCACCCTGCTGGACAAGGGGCAAGTTTCAAAGGCACAACAGGAGGCAGGAGACCTCTGTCCTCTCCTGTGATGTTGAAGGTCTCCCTGTACCTCTGGCAGATCAGCACTTTGGGCAGTTTCCAGCATTCTCACAGCAGGGACAGCAGGGAAAGTAGGTGTGTGGGGGACCTGCTTTCTCAGATCCTACCAAGCCACGTGCAGAAGCAAAGACCAGGCTAAGGCACAGACTGGAGCAAGCCAGAGAGAAGGCAAAAAGCTGCTGTGGATCCATTCATCTGAAAGCAACATGACCCAACTGCTTTGTCAGGTCCAGTGCCAGGGGTCACACAGCCTGCCAGCTGCTCAGAAAGACTTTGGGGCAGTTGGTCCCTGCATTGCCAAAGCCAGAGGAAAAGCAAAGAGGAGGGAAAAAGGCTTCCCAGGGACAGTCAGCAGGCATGGAATTAGCACAGGCAACTCTGTGACAACAGGGGAGTTCCCCAGGTGCAGGGGCCAGGGATGACTGGGAGAGGGAAAAAAATTTAAATGAACCAGCTGTGAAGTCCTCCCACCCACAGCACTGGCTGTGTCCTCCAGCAGGAGCAGCTCAGCATGGCTGGGGAAGCAGCAGGTGGCAAAGGATGCTCTTTTCTGGGCTGGTGCTTCTTAGGAAGAAGAGTGATTGTGATTCTCAGCCCCTTGGAAAGTCCTGAGGAGCTTTGCTCACCCTGGTGGAGCCTGGCAGGGCCCTGTGTCCTCTCCATGAAAGAGTTAAGCCAAAAGCAAGGACAGCAAGCAGGGAAGGGCTGGTATCATGTCAGGTGGCCCCATGGGGCTAAGAGCAAAGCTTGTCCTCCCAGGTTTGCTCAAGATGACCTGGCAGAGTCCCTCAGAGAACTGAATCCACCACAGCAAGAGGAAGTGGAAGGAGGAAGATGCTCAGCCCCACTCAGGGCAGACCCCAGAGAGCAGCAGAAGCTAAATGAGCCCTTCAAAGAGAGGGGGAGGTCAGCAGGTACCTCTGTGCAGGTGCCAGGCTCGGCTGGCAGTGTCCAGGGCTGAGAAAGGGAACCTCTGCCCTTCCAGCACCCTGCAAAGGCTCCCAGGAAATCCAGGCTCCTTCCACAGCTGCAGCAGCAGAGCAGGTTGGTGTGGGCAGGAGCTCTCTGCTCCTCTCGGCAGGGTCAGAGGCTCTGCAGCCCCCTCACATGTGCTCAGGGTGGTTTTGCAGACACTTGATGACATCAGTGACAGGTTTGCCCTCGTAGCAGATCTGATACACAGCTGTGAAGAGGGGGAACCTGTGGGCAGAGAACCACAGCCACCCTGTCACCACAGCTTGCTGGGCCCTGCAGGACACCGGGCAGGGCAGGCAGGGCCACGGTGCCTCATCCCACAAGACACTCCTGCCCCACTGCTTTGAGATGGGCAGTGCAGAGAGATGGACCTGAACAGCAGAGATGCCACGGGTGGGTTTCCTCTCCCACAGCTGCAGGAGAGATCCCAGCCCCAGCCCAAGGGAGATGGGACCACTCACTTCTCCACCACGTTCTTGCTCTTAAGGATGCGATGCAGCTCAGCAGACGTCTGGGGGCCCTGCAGCTTCTGCCCGTTCAACATCTCCTTCTCCAGCTGCTCAATAGACTGAAACCCCCCAACAGTGAGGGAGCTGGACCCTGCAACCCCCTCTGCTGCCCCAGATTCCTTCCCTGAAGCTAGGCTGTGGCCTTGGGTGGCGGCAGGATGCCGTGGAGCCAACTGGATCCACCCCTCTGCCTGCTCGGGTGGTGGGTGCAGGGCTGGATGTTCCTGCTCCCTCTCTGCTCACCTTCCCAGTCTTGGCAAAAGCCTCAGCCACCCTCCTGTTGCGGCCCCCATAGCAGGTGGTGATGAGGTCAGCAACCCCACAGCTCTGCAGGAAGGTGGAGGAGGTGACAGGGCCCTTGCAGAAGAGTTTGGCAAAGCCAATCATCTCCATCAGTCCCAGACGGATCACGGCAGCCTTGGTGTTGTCTCCATAGCCCAGCCCGTCACAGAAACCAGCTCCTACAGCCACAACGTTCTGGAAAACAGCAGCAGTGTGGAGAGATCTGTTCCCCACAGAGCTCAGGGCTTTGCTGTGTCCATCATCTTCCTGTGTGATCCCAGCCCAAGCACAGGCTCCTGCCTCCCCTGCCTACAGCAGGGATCATCATCCCTCCAAGCAGCTCAGCAGGACACATCCCAGTACCCTCCAAAGTCTGGCCATGGATCAGGGGTTCTCAGCAAGACACAGTGGGGTCTGTTCAGCTGGCAGCCCCCTCCCCAGGGCTCCCTGCAGGGTCCCAGGGACCTCAGAGAGCAGCTCACCCACCTTGAGAGCCCCACAGATCTCCACAGTGTCAGCCTCCTCCACCACTGTCACTCGGAAGTTCGGTGTCTGCATCAGCTCCTTCAGCATCTGCCCGTGCTGCAGGTTCTTGCAGCCTGGAGAAACAAAGGGAGGAGGGGGAAGATGATGGGAGGAGACCCCTAGGGCAGGGCTGTGCTGCTCTCCTGCCCAGCGGTGGGTTCCTGCAGCACAGCCCGTGGAGCTGCTGCAGCAGGAGAAGCCTGTTGCTCAACTGGTGGAGCTTGATAAACATTTGCAGGTCCACAAAGTGGGAAGCACACATGGCCTGGCAGATAAGCAAGATTCAACCTTGGCATTCCCAGAAGATGAGGACTATCCCTGCTGCTGTGCCAAACAAGACAGAAATGACATGCCCAGTAGATTAAAAGCATCTTCAAAGGTTGCAAATTTGGGTTTGGAGACTGCTGTTCTCCCTGTTCCTGCAGTGTCCTGCACCTTTCTGTGTGCTCTGCTTACACCTCTCCAGGCTCCACAGCCTCCTGCTCAGCATGTTTGCTTGTGTTTAAAATACAGACACTTTGAATCTTGTAACTTCCAACCCAGCAAGCTGTCCTGGTGGCTTTGGCTGCTCTGCATGCTCCAAAGCCACGGGCAGGATGTCAGGAACAGCCACCAGATGAACCTTCGAGCAGCCCTGGGTGGCAATAACTTGAGATCCAGGCGAGCATCCCTTGAAGCCCAAGGAAATGAAGGTAGGAACTCCATTTCTTAAGCACTTCTTGGTGTCCACCCCTTTCACATGTGCCAGGCAGACTGACTGCCTGATGCTCAGGGTCTGTGCTGGCAGGAACACTGCCAGCAGACCACTCTGCTCTCAGGGAAGAGAGGCATCATATTGCAAACCCTGTGCGCGAGTTCATCCAGCTCCGGTGGAGACTCTTTGCCTCCCCAGGGAAAAAGGGCTGGGTGCCCTGAGGCAGCAGCAGTTTCAGGTGCACTGTGCTCACCCCTTTGCCTCTTCCTGCTCAGCAGAGTAGGGCTGTGGGTTCCTTACCGATGGTTGTTTCGCAGAACTTCTCCTCTGCCACTTCATTAGCAATATTGGCCCCCATGAGGACGCTCATCTCTATTCCCAGTTTCTCATGGATAATGTCTGAGATCAGCCTCAGCCCATCTGGTCCTTCATCCACCCCCTGGGAGACAACCAGGGACAGAGATGAGTATCTGCACCCCCCCAGGAGACCAAGCCCCACCTATCTCATCCCAACAACCCCCCACTGCTCTGCTGCTCCCCACTCCTCACAGTGCCCAGGATTCTACACACACCCTCACCCTTCTTCCTCTAAATCCTCACACAGGCTCTGCCCCCACTTCCCCTGGAGATCAGTTTCTGCTCCAAAACCCCAGGATTCCTTTTGCAGCCCTTCCAAGCCAGGCTCCTTCCATCCAGGCCCCTTGGCCCCTGCCCAGCAGAGCTTCTCCTGCCCACACCTTGATGAGTGACATCCCAACAGCGTTTTTCTTCACGTGGCCCTGGAGCTGGTCACAGACTTTGCCAATAAACTGGTGGGGCACCACAAACAGGAGGATGTCAGCCTCAGCACAGGCTTTCAGCAGGTCTGGCTCTGCCACCTGGAGAGAGTGTGACTGTCACCGGGGGCTTGTGCCTCTAGTTGTGCAGTGAGTGTGTCCTGAATCCAGGACAAGGGGAGCAGGGGTTTGAGAGCAGATGCTGGGGGCTTCCCTGGAAGGGAAGGAAGTCACAGGATCATGGAATGATTTGGGTTGGAATGGACCTTCAAGATCATCTAGTTCCAACCCCATTGCATGGGCAGGGACACCTCCCACTAGAGTCAGTGACCCGAGGTCCCTTTCCAGGGCTGGCAGGACAGAGGGACTGGAGCAGAGCAGGGCCAAAGCAACCTGAGGTGGTCCCATGAAGGTGGGTCAAAGAGCTGGGGTCGTTCTGGGGAGCTCAGCAGGCCAGAGCCTGCCCAGGGACCGAGCAGACTCTGTGCTGCCCATGCCAGCTCGGCAGCAGCTACATGGCCTCAAGCCCAGCCTGTGGGGTGCCAGTGTTGGGGCAAAGGTGGGCAGTGAGAGCAGCCAGGGCTGCAGCTCAGCCAAGCACACATCAAGGTCACCGGGGAAAAGTGTAACCAAGCCCAGTGCAGCCCAGTACATCCCCCACCTTCACACCCCAGTGCCCAGCACAGCGGGGCTGCAGCAGCTCCCAGCACAGCTATTTATTTATACCTCCCCAGAGCTTGGCTCTCAGCCCCCGGACCTTGCAGAGGCTGCCGGGGTCCACACTCACCACGTTGGGGGGCAGTTTGTGGCCGGGCAGGTACTTGACGTTCTCGTGCTCCGTGTTGATGATGTCGGTGAGGCGCCGGCCGCCCACCTCCTCCTGCAGCACCCACATCCTCACCTGGCTCTCGAAGCCGCTCAGCCGCGCCGCGTTGCTGCCCGCGATCTTGGCGATGGCCGAGCCCCTGCGCGGGCACAGAGGAGCCGTGGGCAGGGGGCACCGAGGCCACGGCCCCCACAGAGCCCTCACAGAGCCCCCTGCACCACGGGTCGCTCGTGCAGGGGTCCTGGTGACACGGGGACAGCTGGCACCGGTGGGGATAAGGGGATGGGGACTCAGCGCCGCGCTGGGAAAGGCGCGGGTGCCCGGGCAGCAGCTGCTCACCAGTTGCCAGAGCCCACGATGCAGACTTTCTTGCCACCCATGGTGCGGGGAGCCCGGGCACTGCGCAGCAAGGAGCCTGCCCGCTGCTATTTCAAGGCCGCCCGGAGCAGGGGCGGCCTCGTCCCGCCTCTGGCCCCGCCTCAGCCCCGGGGGAACCGGGCACCCGGGCTGGCAGGAGCAGCTGCTGCTCAGGGGCTGTGCCACAGGTGGAAATTGCTCCCCTAAGGCGAAGGTGAAACAGCTCAGATCCCAAACCTCAGCCGAACTGGGAGTCGTGACTGGCAAAACCCTCTCCCCCTTTTTATGCATCCAAGCAGTTTATTTCACCCTCACTAAGTAAGAAATAGGAACCATCTGGATGCCCACCCAGGACACGACTCCTGCCCTGACCTCCCAGCCTTGTGCAAACTGCCCCGTTTCTTGCATCTTGCAAGAACCTTGCAGGTTTTCTGTCAAGCACAACATTGCTACTTTCCTAAAACAAGGCAGCCTGGAGACACTCGTGTCCCTTTTGCATAGTTTTAAAACCCTTCCATGTAAACTTTAACACAGTTTCCTCAAAATTATGCAGGGTCCCGTGAGGCTCTCACCAGGCTGTCACAGTCCCTCCCCTTGGGCTAGATGATCTCCAGAGGTCCCTTCCAGCTCTGACAACCCTGCAAGGCAGCAGGGTGGGGAATCTGGGCTGGCAAGAGCTTTATCAGCAGCTTGGCCACTGGATTTCCAGTTTTGCCCAAGTGACTTTGTTTACCACAAAGGCACTTTGCAAAGGCTTAGCAGACTCTGCAAGCCAGAAGATCCTGACATGAAGGTCTCTCTATAAAAGGCCAAAACATGAAGAACATTTTCTCTCCAGTCTCTTAACACATTTGGCTTTTAAGAGTAAAACAAGTGGAGGTAAATCCTGTCCCTCACCCTGTGTCACCCACCCAGGCAGCTGCTTGGGAACATGTGCTGTCAGCAGAGGAAGAGGGAGGCCAGTTTCCTTCACAAGAGGCTTTTATTAAAACTGGGTGACGTCTACAAGGATACAGTACAAAAAAAATTTTGGTCCATGGAATAAAACAAACCGTAACATTCAGTTAAGAAAAGCAAGTTATTCTGCAACAGCTCCACATCCTTCCCGTGGGATTCCCCTGAGGAGTCACTGGCTGCTCCACCAGCACCCAGACCTTCACCCCAGTACCACAGAGAAGCCATTTCATAAGAGGGCCAAGGAGGAGGGGAGTGGAGAGTCTATTATTCACAGACACGTAGTAACACAGACACAAGTAGGGCCACCCAGGCTCTCAAATTCATAGCAACCTTCCCAGCCACACCACGGGTGGGTGTGGGGATGGGGGGGGGGTTTGTCAGTAACGGATTTTGCAGCTATTCCAAGATACTATGACCCAACTTTCAAGTTCATTTTGCATTACAGTCCCGAGCAGAAATACTGAGATCCAGGTTAAGAGAAGCCATTCTCTAACACCCGACCACTACTTCACTAGTTATTTATCCCATGAAGAGGCACCTGGGCTGCTACTGGTAGAGAAAAATCTACTTGCACATTCTTGAACCATGCAGGGCCTTATGGCAGCCTCAGAACCTAAAAACTTGACTAGAAACCACAGGAGCTTCAGCATGGAAACCTCTAACACATGCTCAGAGCTACATCCACTCCCAAGGACTGTCCTGTTACACCCTCAGATCCACACGAAGGAGCTGCTGGTCCCCACAGCAAGTGACACAGAAGTGTCCCAAAGGAATGAGCCTACAACACTGTGCCCCTGCACAGCTCCACCAGGCAGCTGCTGCAGCCTCTCTCCCTGCTGCAGGGAAAACCAGCAGCCAGGTGGTTTGCAGGAACCACCAGTGCAGGATTTCTGAAGTGCAGTGAGGTCTCATCACCTGAAAGCTTCCACATCCCTGCAGAGCCAAGGCCTCATCTCCCCTGTGATCCTGGGGACAGTCTG